GACTACAAGCAGCTTCCGGGACAGGAGTTTTATACGGCAAAAGGAAGGGGAAAGGTAGCAGATGTTTTCAAGCACATGAAACTGTCAAAGTTCGCAAAGAAATATCTGGTTTGGCAAGCCATCAGTACCTGTGGCTTGAAAAGCAGCATTTTCATAGCTTCCGGGACTGTCAACCAAGAAATTTACGTGAAAGAGTGTTTGAATAAACGTCTGCTGCCTTTCCTGAAGAAACACGGTTTGGCCGGATTTGGCATCTTGCCATTACGGTAAAAAGGCCATGCAGTGGTACGCCGCCAACAACGTGCAGGTGGTTCCCAAGGACAAGAACCCTCCCAACACGCCAGAGCTCCGCCCAATTGAGAAATACTGGGCTATTGTCAAGCGGAACCTAAAGAAGACCAAAAAACTGCTAAGGGCGAGCAGCAGTTCAAGGCAAACTGGCTTTCTGCGGCGAAGAAGGTGGACAAGGTGGCTGTACAAAATCTGATGGCAGGGGTCAAGCGTAAGGCCCGGCAATTCAGATTTGGAAAAGCGGAAGCCTAACTGAATATTTTTCCTGAATTTTATACTAATTGAACTTGAAAAAGAAATTTAATTTGATTTTTTAAATAAACGATTTCACCGATTTACACGCGTTTTCCCTTGACCAAATTTTGACCGTATCACCCTTTAGAAGACAAATTGGCTATTTCCGGAGTGATTTGAGATTTGGGCGTAATTGCTTTTGTAAACAAAGACGTCAATTGCCAATATCTCTTGAAATAAAGCTCAATTTAATAAACAAACTAAACCAAATGATAGAGGAATCATTCCTCTACCTCATAGCGTTATTAGTTTTCGAGATTGAGCTTTAATTCGCGAGAAATCGGTGATTGACGTGTTTGTTTACAAATGCAATCACGCCCAAATCTCAAATCACTCCGGATTTCTGATAAAAGGTACTGACTATTTGAATCAGTGAAGTATCATAATGGGAGAGAACTACAGAAAATATTGGATTTCGGGGTAAAATATTCTTGACATTTTTCTCAAAGGAAGTCATATGTTACAATGTGTGGTCTGAGCGGCAGACAATTTCAAGCCTTTTTGCTGCAAAAATCCCCACTGTGCACTGGATTGACCACTTTGTCAAGCAGTTTTGGCGTGACTTTCTACCAGCGATTTCACAAAACTGGACCAACTAATTTCAATTTTTTTATGAAACAAAATGGGCATGGTTCATTTTAGTAAACAAACTAACACTTCTTCCTACTGTGTCACCTATGTATTAGGCGCCTAGGCTCAGCACGGAAGTCGGTGAACGAAAGGCTCAATGGAGCTCAAAGTGGATAATACAGCGGTGCCTTGAAAGGTAATTGGTCAAAGTCCAAAGCTGCTTCGATTACAACCCAGAAGACGAAGGAGGATAGAAGCGATACGATGACGAATATGAATATGTAAGTTGATGGCATCGGGTTCATCTAACAACGGATGGAGTCGGCTCTAGGCGCCTAATACACAGTAGGAAGAAGTGTTAGTTTGTTTACTAAAATGAACCATGCCCATTTTGTTATGGCAAGTTTGTTTTAAGAAATGCTCCTCGTGTTTATTAGCGAAATTCACATCAAATATTGATTAATTGCGTAGGAAATCAGTTTGGCACGGCATTTGTGACCAGCATACACCTTCCGGTCGTATGAAACAGGTAAAAAACTGTAAAAAATCCACCCAAAAAAAAATTTGTTTTGAATTTCTGTATGGCAAAACAATGAACTTTCCGTGAACATTAACTCACCAACACTGGGAGACCGTGAGTTCCTGCCCACCTGTCATTTTCCATCTCGGACGAAAGCTCTCTTTCGGATACATCGGATTCTACCAAGGCAATAGATGAGGCGGTTTCCACTCTCGGAAATCGGAACAAGCAGATGAAACGAAATCAGGAGAATAGAAGAAGTAAATCAGCTAGCGAGAAGCCGTCGGATGTGTAGATTGGTTATGTCGTTTTCGTTTTTACGGTGTAGTTACACCGGTGCTACACTGCCGTACACCGAAATATTTTAGGGTGTAGATATAGGATGCACCTTTGTTTACAAACAAATGATGTTGAGCTGTCAAAGACTCTCACTTATTCCTGCTTACACTACACCAGTGCTACACCGCAAAAACGAAAACGACATTAGTCAGTTGGTATTTTTGAGTAGAATTTCAATTCATATCGTTACGGTATTGTATTGGTCAGTAGAAAACTTAATTTTGTGGTTAAATTTGCGTCAGTTAATTTGAATAGCTCTACGTGTACAATCAACAAAAGCCATTTGCGGGATTTCATTAGAGCCAACGATATTGATATTCTTTTTCTGCATAGCATAGCAAACTAACTTTTCGCTTGTTCCTTCTCACTCTGTGTTAGTTAATATTGGAGAGAGTTGCTCGGGTACCGGTATTTTGATTTGAAAGTCGTTCGAATTCACTCAGCCTTGGTTGGATCCGAATGGGAGAATATCTTCTGTAATAGTTAATGGTGTGAACTACATAAACGTTTACGCATTTTCAGGAAGTAATAAGAGAAAGGAAAGGGATAATTTGTTCGTTAATGATTTATCAGTGCACTTTGCAAAAGGAGGGAAGAAGATCGATGTTATTGGTGGAGATTTTAACTGCATTTTGAACAATTTTGATTCTACTAGTTCAACGAAAAATTTCAGCACCGATTTGAGGAAACTTGTTGAAATGTTCAATTTGAAAGATATTGCATTGGAACTTAAAAAGAACACATACACTTTCGTCAGAAATGGTACTTCATCAAGGTTCAGTGTTGGCAAAATCAGAAATCAATTGATATTTTTCCGCTCTCATGCGCTCGCAAAATATCATGCTTGATATTGATTTTTCAAGCTCCTTTGATATTGCGAGACTATTCACAACGTGCAAAAATCAAGCTGAGAGTTGACTCGACACAAAAATGATTCCATTGCACATCGTTTTCTTAGAAAGAGAAAGCATAGTTTGCTATCTCTTTTTAATCTTTACCGATGGCAGACGCGAAGGGACTGCTGCAAGTTTCGGTTGCATTCGAGTGTAAAGCAAAAATCCTTAAGTTCAATCTCACCACAGTTTGGAAAATCAACCGCAGTTTTTTTGCTTGTTGATTTTTGTCTACGAAAATCAAGCGTGATCTTGGGCGTTGGTGAGATTTGATTTTTTGATATTTTTCCAACAATGTCAAGGTTAGACAGGTTTACGCTCCGCTGTTTCTCTCGAAAAATGTTATAGAATTCTTAACGATTCCTGTTGCTTTTTCTTACCACTTTGGAATTTTGATGACCTTTAAAGGTACCTCTGATATCGTTTCTCCTGTAGAAAGAGGCTACTGGAAAGTTAATAATACATTAGCTAAAGATGGCTCTGTTTGTGCGCGTTTAGCCGAGGAATTTGTTACGGTTACTTTGTTTAACGACGTGTTCGGGGTATCATCCAAACCATTAGGGGAATAGTTCGATCATTTGCGTTATCGTTCGTTTGTGGTATTTTTTTTATTAGGGACGGCACGTGAGTGCTATTTTTCCGATTGAAGCAGATGGTGGAATGAGGTACCCAAGCATAAAATGAAACAGTTTTTCAAGCACGAAAGCTTTGTTCTGAATAGCCGAATCTCCAATGAGAAAAGCTATTTCTATGGAAAAATTAATGAGTGGATGCATAAACAAAATTCGGGGCAACCAACATTGTTAGACATCAAGTTAATCAAGCCGCGGTTGATGGAGATTGAGCAGGATAGGTTGAAACATTTAGGAAACCATTTGGTTGGTTTCAGTTGTATGCAGGATGAAATGATGAACATTTTTCAGGTTGCAGCTCAAGTAAAACTGAATTCAAAGTAATGGAAGCATCAACATTCGAAATGGTAGCATTTTAGTTTCAGACCCCTTACAGATTGGAAAATTGGTTTTTGATAATTTTTCTGCGATTTTTCACTCAGAATTAGCGACTTCAGACTCTTTGCCTGACGATGATGCATCGTGACGATCGTGTTGATTTGATGAAGGAGATAAGGGAAGAGGAATTAATATCTGTTATTCTCTGTTGTAATAAAAAATAAAGATCTCCTGGGCCCGATGGGCTTACATGTGAGGTTTACTTGAATAACTTTGATAATTGTAACGATTTAGTATATAGTTTTAGTTCAAATTTAGCTGGAACAATTTCTCCTCCAAAGTCTTTCTCAGAAGGTGTTATTACGTTGATTCCCAAGAATAACAGTGGCAGATCCTCTTTCGATGACTATCGTCAAATTAGTTTGCTAAATCATGACTAAACATTTTTTTATAAAGCTTATTGCTGAAAGAATTATGGATTTTCTTGATAAGTTGCTAGGACCTGGACAAACTGCGTGTGTTTCGAATATGTCATGTGTGAATAACTTGAAAGACGTGAGAAGATTGCTCACGAGGTCGTGTGAAACTAAAAAGTTTAAAGGATGCTTAGTAGAGTGATGCAAAATTTGAAATTTTCGCTCCACAATACTTAAACGATTCCAAATCGGATCCTGACTAACCTCTCAAAATTTGAACCCATTTGGTGAGAAACTGAGATGGCACAAACCATTTGAAGTTTGTATGGGAATTACTATGGTAAAACCAAGATTTTTGTTCATGTCTATCTAATAATTCACCATATCGGTCTGCTTCAAAAGCTTTCAATAATTTTCCCAGCTACAACTTTGCTCAAGACCACTTTTTGATTAAATGCAAGGATCGAAAGTTATTAATGGTTCAATGCACTGATGTCTTATGATCATGCTCAATCAACTGCTCAGCAGGCAACATTGGTGTTTCTGGGGCGTTGAATAGGACACAAAAATTATGGCTACTATGTAACACTGCAAAATACAGTGTTGCCTACAGAGCAGCTGCTTGATCATATCATAAGTTTACCAATCTCTTAAATAATTGATAACTTTTTCCTGTTTCCGACTCGACGGAGGAGCAAAAGTGCGCTTGCTGATGCGAAAGCTGGGGATGTCGGAGCACGAAAGATATATCAGCTTTATTCTGCCAAAGGCACCGAAAGATTTTGACTTTGCGGTGACGGTAAAAAAGTTGACCAGCTTGTTCGGTGCTGCCGAATCTGTGATTAGCCGGAGGTATCGTTGCCTGCAAATCGTCAAGCAGCCACAGGAGGATTATGTGACGTATGCATGCCGCATTAACAAATCGTGCGTCGAGTTCGAGCTGTCCAAGCTATCGGAGGAGCAGTTCAAGTGTCTCGTATTCGTGTGTGGCTTGAAGTCGGACAAAGATGCAGATGTGCGGATGCGGCTGTTGTCGAAGATTGAGGAGCGGAATGATGTTACGCTGGAACAGCTGTCGGAAGAGTGTCAACGTTTGTTGAACTTGCGGCACGATACTGCGATGATTGAGGAGAACTCAATGTCTGTGAAAGCCTTGAAGACGAAGCAGTACCGTTTCAAGGGAACCTCGCCGTCGAAGTTCAACCAGTCCGGCAGTGAGAAGGGTAGTTGGAAAGCGAGCAGCGGGAAGACTAGTCCGGAAACAGCTTGTTGGCTATGCGGTGGCATGCATTACGCCAGGGAGTGCACGTACAAAAGCCATAAGTGCAGCGATTGCAGCCAGGTAGGCCATAAGGATGGCTACTGTCGGAGTGCAGCGAAGGTAAAATTCAGGCGACGGAAGCCCAACGTTGCAGCGGCCAAGGTAGTGACTGTGAATTCGTGCAGTGTGCAGGAGCGTCGAAAGTACGTGCCGGCTGGAATCAATAGATTACCGGTGCGTATGCAAATCGATACGGGGTCTGACATCACGATAATTTCGTCGGATACCTGGTGCAAGATTGGCAGCCCTTCAACGTTTGCGTCGACGATCATCGCAAAGACAGCCAGTGGTAGGCCATTGCAGATTGAAGGTGAGTTTTCTTGTTATCTTTCCATTGATCGGCGAGTGTTGCGTGGCTTGATTCGGGTCACCAAGGAACAGTTACACCTGTTGGGTTCTGACACGATCGATGCTTTCGGATTGTGGTCGGTTCCTTTCGATTCAATTTGCAACCAGATCAGCAGCACTCCGGCCAGTGTAAGCGGGTTAAAGGCAGAGTACCCGAATGTGTTTTCTGGCGATCTTGGGCTATGTAAGAAAACGAAGGTGAAGTTCCAGTTGAAGGCCGGAATGACCCCTGTGTTTCGTCCAAAGCGTCCGGTAGCGTATGCCATGTACCAGACGGTGGACGATGAACTGGACCGATTGGAGCGAAAGAAAATTATCGAACCGATAGACTTCTCGGAGTGGGCAGCTCCGATTGTGGTGGTTCGTAAGGCGAATGGTACGATTCGTATCTGTGGGGATTATTCAACGGGACTGAATGACGCTCTACAGCCCCACCAGTACCCTTTGCCTCTTCCGCAGGACATTTTCGCTAACCTAGCAAACTGCACCGTCTTCAGCCAAATAGATTTGACGGATGCGTTTTTGCAAGTGGAGGTGGACGGAAGTTCTCGTGACCTCCTGACCATAAACACGCATCGAGGACTGTACCGCTATAATCGTCTCCCGCCAGGGGTGAAGGCAGCGCCGGGAGCGTTCCAGCAGTTGATCGACACGATGCTGGTTGGCCTGAAAGGAGTGAGCGGCTACCTGGATGACATCGTTGTCGGTGGTACCGACGAAGAGGACCACAAGAAGAATCTTCGGGCGGTGCTGCAAAGAATCCAAGAGTTCGGGTTCACCATTCGTTCGGAAAAGTGCTCCTTTGGAGAAAGCCAGATTCGCTATTTGGGACATTTGCTAGATCGTCACGGGCTGCGACCGGATCCAGCAAAGATCGAAGTTATTCAGAAGCTGCCAGCGCCTAAGGATGTCAGTGGAGTTCGTTCTTTCTTGGGCGCCATAAACTATTATGGGAAGTTCGTGCCGAATATGCGTACACTGCGGTTTCCACTTGATGAGTTGCTGAAAGGAAATGGAGAATTCCGGTGGACAACCGAGTGTCAGCGTGCCTTCGATCGGTTCAAAGAGCTACTTGGTTCCGATCTTCTGCTAACTCACTACGATCCGCGACGAGAGATCATTGTATCGGCGGATGCTTCATCGATAAGCGTTGGTGCAACAATCAGCCACAGGTTCCCCGACGGGTCGGTGAAGGTGGTTCAGCATGCGGCACATGCGCTCACGAAGGCAGAGATGGGTTATAGCCAGCCGGATCGCGAAGGTTTAGCAGTTGTGTTCGCCGTAACGAAATTCCACAAAATGATCTTTGGAAGGCAGTTTCGCTTGCAGACCGATCACGCACCCTTGATTCGAATATTCGGTTCACGGAAGGGCATTCCCGTGTACACAGCAAACCGGTTGCAGCGATGGGCGTTAACGCTACTGTTGTACGATTTCTCCATCGAATACATTCCAACCGAGAAGTTTGGGAACGCCGACATCCTCTCAAGATTGATCAACAATCATGCCAAACCTGAGGAGGATTACGTGATTGCGAGCGTGATTTTGGAGGAGGATGTACGATTCATTGCGGACGAAGTGGTCAGCGGTCTGCCATTGAGCTTCAAGATTGTGGAGCAAGATACACAAGTCGATCAGCAGCTGCGCAAAGTATATCGCTACCTTCAAGAAGGATGGCCAGAAGTGTCGACGATCGAAGATCCTGAGATTCGACGGTTCCATGGGCATAGAGATTCGTTGTGTTCTGTTGGGAAATGCATCATGTTCGGTGAACGCTTGGTGATTCCTGAGAAGCATCGACTGCGGTGCATGCGGCAGTTACACCAGGGACATCCAGGGATACAACGCATGAAGTCCATAGCAAGGAGTTATGTGTACTGGCCATCGATTGACGATGAAATCGTTGGGTTCGTGAAGGCATGCAAGCACTGCGCATCCGTGGCAAAATCTCCACCGCATTCCCCACCGGTTCCGTGGCCAAAGCCTAGTGGTCCATGGAAGCGTGTCCACGTGGATTATGCCGGCCCCATTGACGGAGTCTACTACCTGCTAGCCATCGATGCCCATTCGAAGTGGCCTGAAGTGGTGCCTACGCAACGAATAACATCCACAGCAACGATCAGCATTCTACGGAACATCTTCGCCCGCCTAGGAATGCCCGAAACGCTCGTTAGTGACAATGGTACGCAGTTTACGAGCAGCGAGTTCCAGAAGTTCTGCAGTGACAGCGGAATTGATAACGTCACCACGGCACCTTTTCATCCTCAGTCAAACGGTCAGGCTGAAAGGTTCGTGGACACATTCAAGCGGGCGCTGAAGAAAATCCAGGAGGGGAAGAACTGTGTTGGCGAAGCGTTGGACATTTTCCTTCTAACCTACCGTACAACGCCAAATCGTCAGGTCGAAGATGGAAAATCACCGTCCGAAGCTATGTTTGGGCGTCGCATCAGAACCAGTTTGGATCTACTTCGCCCTCCGCCGGCGCGTCCGCCAATAGAGCCTAATCCGGACGATGAAGTAAGGAGAAGTTTTTCTGCACACGATCCGGTCTACGCAAAGGTGTACAGCAATAATAAATGGCGCTGGGCACCAGGAGTCGTTTGCGGCAAGATCGGCAAAGTTATGTACACGGTCTGGGTTGAGGATCGTAGAATGGTTCGAGCACACGTCAACCAGCTGCGCAGTCGTGGTGGTACTCCAGTTAGCAACCGTACGTCACAATCGTCGGCACCACCACACGACGTTCTGTTAGATGCGTGGAGTATTCCTAGAACCACGATGGTACCGGCAGCACCATCTCCACTACCAGGACCATCGACTTCGCCGGATCTTCCGAATCCTCAGGCCCCGAATGCTGAGTCTACACCGTTGCCACCTGTATCGTCCTTGTCCTCGTCGTTAGCTACGTCTTCGTCCTCATCATCATCGTCTACGTCTACATCAGCAGCATCTCCAGAGTTCGCTTTAGCAGATAGCGGACCAGCTACACCGGTACAACTTCCACGCCGGTCTTCTCGTATCCGAAGGCCGCCGCAGTGGTTTGACCCGTACCACCTCTATTGAAGAGGGGGGATGTTGGGGACAACTGGAAAACGGAGTACCCCTATCCACTCCGCCGCCGCTGGACTCGCGGGTGACTGTTTTATCCGTCATCCTTCAGATGTCAACAAAGCGCATAAAGAGTGAATGAGATAATATGTTGTCATCATGTATGTAAATAGAAGTGTTTTTAGTTCGTCATCGTAACAACGTGTTTTATTTTCATTCCGAGTTTTTAATTAGTTTTAATTTGTATTCGCGTCCAATGTTCATCTCGAATTTTGATTAATGGGTTTCTATCTCAATAAATTAAAATTAAAAGTTCTGTTCGTCCGGGATGCCCCATGAGCATTGAGCTTCAGTTCTTGAGTTCTTTACATTGAGCCCTTGTTAAGACAAATTTCAGACAGCATTCCTGGTGTGCTTGTCTATGACAAGTTCATCAGTGTGATTACTTATGCTGATGATATATGAGTTGTTTTTATTAAGAATGATTTGGAATTTAATCATCTGTTTTCAATTGTTGATTCTTATAGCTGGTTTACTCACATTCGATTCAATTTGCAGAAGTCAGATTTTTTTCGTTTGAATAATACTAGGATTGGTCCTCAAAAATAGGGGAAGCTGATAGTCTCCAAATTTTAGGAGTTTGTATTGAAAGGAGTTGGAGTTCTATGCTGGATTCAAACTATGGAAGGTTGGTTTCGAGTATTAAAGCAATTCTACAAATCCATACTTGAATATGTTTGAGCGTAGTATAGTTTTGAATGTCTTTGTGTTATCAATCGACATCTAGGCCAGATAAAGTCCGCATGCGGGAAGCTTATTTGGTTCAGCTTCAGTTTTAAACTGAACAGGAATCAATTGTACATGGATTATTTAAAAGGAAGAATTCACCTTATAGATCCAGAAGCTAAATCAAAGGCATTATTCTTGAGAAATATTTGTTACAACCATGGGGATAATTTTGAAGAAAGTTACCTCATAAATGATCGAATCAGAGGAAAACTTACTAGAAATGCTAGGGAGTGGATAGATGAAGGAGCCTTGATAAAGAGTAATTATAATCTTGAAACAACAAAGCTTTTGTATGGTTTCTTTATTGATAGGAATAATCATGTGCCTGCAGTAGAAAACAAAATCCAATTTGATTGAGTAATCGTATGGGAGAACTTAATTACTTTCTGCCCCTTCAAGACCGTGCGAAATTGTTCGTTATTGTAAACGATCTTGCTCCAAATAAGGAAAATCTCAAGCTTTACTATATTGGTTATGCATAGAGTCTTAGACATAATTGTGAAAAATGTGGTTTGTCTGATACTAATCAACATCGGATCAAGCAATGCACGAAGTCAAAAATAATTTGGGATTGGTGCAGCCAAATCATTATAGACCGGATGATGGTTAAGGTAAAGGATATCGAAAATGTTCTTCAATTGGAGATTCAAACTCTTAAGACAACAAATTAAAAAAAAAATCCAACTCCATTTGGTAAAAATGCAGATGGGACTGATTTCCGGCAGAACAGTACTTTCTTTCTACACTAAAGAGCGAAAACGACGTAGCAAAACAAAAACACGGCGTTTTGGCAGCGCGACCTACTTCAATCTCAATGCAGGATTTACCACCGGAGGTCCCGGATAATTCTCTAGCGTTTGGGGTAGCAGGGGTAGGGTCTGGGTAAGCACACTTGGACGCGGTGTGCATATGGACGCGAAAAAGGAAATTCTCTCAATCGGAAGGGATACATATTTTATATGGTTTCATTTTTGTTAAATGTATGCTTTTTATCCAAGTTGAACCGGCATCAAATGAATTCTTGGCCCAGGGAAAATAAGAACTCATTAAAGATGTTTCTCATGAATATTTGTTTATGAGTATTCGCTGTTACTCGACTCCGTGGAGTTTTTGTTTTAGACATTTGAGCCTTAATAAATGTTGTTGCATTTAAAACAAATCCAAAATGTATGGAATATTCGTTTTGATCGAATGCGGAAACAAGGACCTCTTGAACATATACCCTAATCGCACAAACCCCAATAAGTGAAAGTCTTTTATTGAGTACTTACCACGCGTCTGTAGAACTCGAGTTCTGTTGAACCTTTTGTCGAATGTATACTGGAATAAGGGAAATGATTGTTGATATAAGGATACTTCAAATATCTGACGCTGACACTGACGAATATCTTCCAATTTTATCGATAGCAAACTCAGATATCTATCAACCTACACGCGTAGCCAGTATCTTATCCACGTTTTATCACGTCCGTTGGTTCGAAGTAAATCAACTTATAAACTCACCACAGACATCCAGATGATGAGCAGCACAAACACAATCAGCGGAATCACGATGTAGGCTGACATTCTTCTCTCAAGTACCACCCCTAGGTAGAGTTTCTTCTCTTCTCTATTGGTCAATCAGACAATCACAAAAAGACGAAACCTAGCACAACAAACACACACCAGCACGCTGCCTGCCTTCCGAATGCCAACCCATTAGCTGCTATTATTATCCGCGAAATGAAACGACCCAGCAGAAAGCGGAAGAGCAAGTGTGGCATGCATTTTCTTTATCTCTATTTGCGTTCGATAAAACCGCGATAAGAGACCCGTGATTTCACCACCGGATCAACACGGCCGATGAGGTCGATCCGAAATTGAAGTTTAGTTTACTCATAAATCACAAAAAAAAGTGTGTACAACCTCAAAAATCTGCCGGAAATGGGGAAAATTGACGAACATTTAACTCAGTCTAGAAGTAGTAACCAATAGACTGAGTGAATCCAATCTTGACTTTTCTCACATTCGGGATTTTTTTCCTGGGTAAACCCAACTGCACTGTTTGCGATTTATGAGTAACCTGAAATTTGGGTCGATCTCATTGGCCGTGACCGAGATGGTATCCAAGCGACGAGAGCGCCCACCTTTCGGCGGGTGGGACATTTCGGAACCAATTGAGCAACGTCCCCAAAACGTCAAGCATTTATTCAAATTTATTTGAACCGTTTTGTTTGTTTGTTTTTTTTTTGTTGTCGTTTTAAATATTTTCTTTTTTGAAGATGTTTGTTTTGTTTATAGATTGGTTTGAAAGGTTATTCTCTATCCACCACTCCACCCCCGCCAGCAAGTACGTACATCTGCGCTTCATTCGTTCGGTTGCGTCTCTTAGATTTGGAAGGAGATGCACACTTGGCTTGGTTTTTGGAAGTGGGGGGGTTGATTTTCTCTTACAGACTACAGACTGATACCTATTTTGTGTGGTTTTCCTCGTATGTTTTTTTTTTTTAATTTTAAATTTAATATATTAGTTTTTGTCCATTTTTCGGGGGTCTCACTGTGAGACTCGTCCGAGTGAAACTCATTCAATTTCTCGTTTAAGATTTTTTTTTGCGTGTGCTATCAGTGCATAGATAAATGAGCTCGCTCGCATTTCAAACGAAACTGGGTAAATTCCTAAATGTAGGGAAGGGGAATAGTTTTGGAAAAGTCTGGAATCGAAGGAATGATCGGTCATAATTTTACGAACGGTGTATGTGTGTGTGTGTATGTTTTTTAAGGTGCATATGCGCAAAGGCCGGTATGCACCGAGTGCGGGAAGCTGTGGCTGTCTTTTTGGTTTGTAGTTTTCCAAAAATTAGTGAAAACTGAAAAAGAAAAACGGGGGCAACTCTGTGGGTTTTCTTTTGTTGAGCAATATAGTGTATCAGTCTCACGATATTTTCTGGATTTTTTTTTCTCTGTTGTGTCATTTTCCACTAAATATAGCTTTTCTTTATATGAGTGTCTTGTGTCTGTGTTTTTTTTGAGAGGGGGAAATATTACTAATGCCTTTCTTCTCATTCTTTCCATGATCGCTCTAAATATATATAATCTGCCATTCTCTTTCCCTTAAATGTTTACATACGCTTTAAAGATACTAGGTTAGATTTTTTTTTGAAAAAATTTCTTCTCCTTCGCTGCTCATTATTATGGGTATTGGGTGTAACCTTTTTCTTTGTACAGATTATATAGGGTTACCGCTGCAATACCTTGGAAAAAAAGACAGCTAAATAGCGATGCGTTCAAGATTGGTTCTATGTTTGTTCTATTTAAATTTGACCAAGAGTGAGTAGAAACAGGAAATTTGAATCGTTCTAATGTCAGGTTGGTATGCACCAAATATAAGAAGGTGCATGCATCACTAGATCAGTACTGAATAACAACAGGCAGAGATAGAGAGAGAGAGAGTGTTAACATTGGAAGAAACGGGCAACGTAGGCCCAATCGAAAAACTGTAGTTTCGTTGTATTGTTTTTATTTCTTCTACGGTGGCGTAAATCCGGAGGGGGGGTGCTCAAAAAGAAGTGGCAATTGGTGCGAAAAAACCGTTACAACCATACGAACCGGCTCCGAAACGGGTGCCATTTGTTTAAAATCTTCAAATTTATCTACTTTATTACAAAAATGAGATTTGTTTCTGTAATTGATTTTTCTTTCTGTTCCTACAAAAGACATCCTTCGAGTAAAAATCGTTTAAGAGCCTCCTATATAAAACTAGCGCTAGCGTACTGTTTTGAATCGACAAATTACCTCTGTGTGTGTGTGTGTGTATGTGTATCTCTGTGTAAGTCTAGGATTCGTTAAAAGTTGACTATTCTTGTCTCTATTGTTTCTAGCTCGACGCTACACAGCTAATCGAAATCGATGATAAAATTGCATTTCTGAACCTGTTTTCAGTGTAAGTATGTATGTGTGTCTTATTCATTCCGCTGTCTCTGACTCTCTCTATTATTTATATATTGCATTTGTGTCTGCGCGTTCTCTCATTCAACGGTGCACGAAATTTCCCCACCAAACCAATACTCTAGTAATAATGCTGTATGTCAAAAGCTCGCAAAACAACTACCGTTAGCTGCTGTTACGTTATGATTCCTGTTATCTACCCGCTGTTTTATACTTTGTTTTTGATCAAGCAAATATATGTAGGTATCTCACATTGCGTTTGCGTGTATGTGTGTTTATGTATTTCCTCGCTGCAGGTGTGTATAAAAGTTTCAAAAAACTTTATTTTATAAAAATAAACTTTTTAAAAAATAAAATAATTTAATAAATATACATACTCTAAATATATATGGCATATCCGTAAGACGATTACACAATGATTTCAACTTTTTGTTTCGGTCCTAGCACACCGCACCTAACTCACTGCTCGTTGGTGTATGTATGTGTGTGTGTGTGTTCTGCCTGCTTGCGAATGTATTGGTGTCCACGTGTGAGTATGTGCGTGTGTGAATGCGCTCTTCACCACAAAACCGAGAATTTTCCGAGCGCATTGTCCTGCCACAGAGTAAATAAAACCTTTCTCTTCTCCTTAACTAAGCCGATTGAATATCATAAATTCTCACATTTTTTTTTCTTACACAAGAATTATGTTAAACCGAAGAAACCGGGACAAAATATGCAGTGTATTTATGTATGTATATGCGGTTCTCAATATGCGCTCTTGCTTCGATCCAAGTACTAAATTTTACTTTTGTTTTATTAGTTCAATGCGTACTAGAATTACATAATCTACATCTTCCTTGCGTTTTGTCATTTACATTTGTTTAGCTAGAATTACACTGATTCAATCGTCGAAATCGCACACGAAACGGATTCTATATGTAGTGTATATAAACCGTGGTGTCGTGGTTAGTAGTATTGTTGTTTTTGTTTGCGTTAGTGCGTGTATCTTGCCGGTCTCGCTTACAGTAAACTATTTAACACGCGCGCGCACACGACGGTATTCCGGACCTTTCGTTTTTTTGTTTTATATACTCGTATAAAAACCGAAGCGAGTTGTTGCGGTCGATGTTGGTAATTACTAGCAATTGATAGCAGTAACTTGTTTTTTTTTTGGGTAGTAGATTCTAGAATAGTAGTACTGGTAGAGTGATAGGAGCAGTAGGGCGGTGGTAGCAGAAGAGGGTCGTCAGTGCGTGGTCTCTGTCGGTTGGTTGTAAGTGTAACATATGTGAGTGTGCGTGTGTTGGTTGCGGATCTGCGCAACACACGGAAGATGAAGGGGGGCTGGGGCTGCGCCACTTGGTTCGTTCTTTCTTTCATTGTTTCAAAATTTCGAACGTGTGTTGTGAACGGAAATTTCTGGGGAAGCAGATCGAAGGGTGGACCACGACGGAGACACAATTTGGTTTGTCAGCCCTTAAAACAGACCCTTCTTCTTCTTACCTTTGTCTTTACCGTCCACGGTTCTGAAAAGTGGGTGGGATAAATTATAAAGAAAATAGAAATTAAACTGATGTTCGGTTATCATTACATAGGAAAGAGTGAGAGAAAGAGATAAATCTACTGTATAGCTGTTGCTGCTAGTGGATAATAGAGGAGAGAAGTTGGTGACAGTACTAAGATGCAGTAGGCGGTTCGGCTGATTAGGGCGGGGCCAAATGAGGATAATATCGGGGGGGAAAAGTCATGCAGAAGCTATGTGATATTACTAGACTATCGAATGATTGTTAAATTTAATAAGAGGAACTAGAATGGTAGCTTGCCCAATTTGAAGGGAAGCATGAGTCAGTTTAAATGTTTCCTAAGGTGATTGTTTTAGTTGGATTAGACTGAATTAGTCTTCTTGTACCCTCGAATTGAAGAATGGGATGGCCAGTGAATTTTCATTTTGAAATGCCAGGTTCAAATCCAAAAAAAATCCCGGTTTTTAAATATTCAGCACAAAACGAAAGTGTTGAAATGATTGCAATAATTCCTTAGTTTCTGGATACTTAGTATAAATTTGAATAACTTTGTTATTCACGAGTCCTTTTATGATTTTAAAGCGCCAAAATTTAAAAAAATAAAACAGCAAAGGGACAGCCCTATGGGGTTGTACGCAATGGTGACGTAGGACTACGTAGTCTTATATGAAAAATATTATTTTTTAACTGCAGCAGGAGCTTGTTTTTTGTGTAGGAATAGGAATTTGAGTGGGCTCTCTCTGTTTATACTCTTTAGTCTGACGTGCTTGGCATAGATGACCTCACAGCGACTCACAACGAGTCACTGATTCCGATCAATAGCGGTGCAGCTTCTTCCTACTTCTATGGATGCTCATTAGACTGATGCAAAATTTGAATTTTTCGCTCCACAGTGCTTAAATGGTTTCAAATCGGGTCCTGATTAGCCTCCCAAAGTTACAACTCATTTGGTTGGAAACAGACTTCGCACAAGCCATTTGAAGTTTACATGTAAATTACTATGGGAAATCTAAACTTTTTGTTCATTGCCTTCTAGTCTTTTTCCATATTGAGCTGCGAAACAGTTCGATAGCCATTCTTATAGAAAATTTTCTCAGCTACTACTTTGCTGAAGATCGTTTCTATTTTAAATGAGACTTGAAAAAGTTATTAATTATTTAAGAGATTGGTAAACTTATGACATGATCAAGCAGCTGCTCTGTAGGCAACACTGTATTTTGCAGTGTGACATAGTAGCCATGATTTTTGTGTCCTATTCAATGTCCCAGAAACACCAATGTTGCCTGCTGAGCAGTTGATTGAGCATGATCATAAGACATCAGCGCATTGAACCATTGATAACTTTTGATCCTTGCATTTAATCAAAAAGTGATCTTCAGCAAAGTTGTAGCTGGGAAAAT